TTGAGCCAGTTCTATCTTGGAGGCTGTTTTCCCTTTGATGGTCTCTGGGTGGAGTTTTTCTGTGTGGCAGTCTCTTGTATATGCTTGGTGAGTGTTGTTCTGCCCATACTGGGTCAGTGAGGATCTTTTGTAATGCTGGGTTCCTTTTAGCATATTCTTTGAGGCTTTCCTTGTCCGTGAAGACTCTCATTTCTCCATCTATTTTGATAGATAATTTGGCTGTATTTGTATTCTTGGGTTTGCGTTATTTTCCTGCAATTTTCAGAATATGCTACTCCATTGTCTCCTCTTATTCATAGTGTCTGCTGACAGGTCTGTGCATATTCTTATCTGCTTGCCTTTGTATGCGGTTGCCCTTTTTTCCCCCTAACTGCTCTCATAATTTTCTGCTTTTCCTCATAGTTGGATAGTTTAACAACTATATGTCTTGGTGACTTCTGGGAATTCAGTCTAGCTGGCGTTCTTTCGGCCTCCTAGATAGTTGCCTGGTTTTTGTTCATTAAGTTTTTTTTTAAAATCTTTTTGAGGATTACAAATTACAAAGTAAAAGCAATGATTGTGTAGAAACCTAGTGAATATATTTTGTCTTGGCAGGAAAATAGTATTGCTATTCATTTAATAAATTCACATAATTTACAACGTTACCAGTTATAATGTTCTTATTACATGTTATTCCTTCAGGATGAACTTTAATTTCCTATGCCATATTCTTGGCTTATAAGAATAGCGCCTTTGAAAGAGTGACCTCCAGGATTTCTTACAGTCCCTTTGAAAGCACTGTAATTGTCCAAGTTGGTGTTCTTTAGCTGTAACAAATTCACCTTAAGTGCAGCAACACCCCAGAGCCCCCTCCACATACTTCCCAGGAGACCTGCAAGGGAAACCATTGAGAACATAAGAGCTCATGCTGCCTTTTGTGCTCTGAATAATATCTCTGAATCCATTTGGGCTCATTGTCTCCTTACCAACTGAATCAACGAAATTGTGGCAAGTCAACGTACTGCTTAGGACCTGCCTGATTTTTTCAAATGTTCTGTTTTTCAGTACAGTAAATAGTCACTAAGCAATGTGGCTATCGAGCACTTGGGTGATGTGTTTGTCTGAAATGAGATGTATTTTAAGCGTTGTAATATATACCAGATTCTGAAGACTTAATCTTCTTTTCTTGATGTTGATTGCATGTTGAAATGATAATGTTAAATCAAATGCAAATAAAATGTTAAAATTTGGTTTTGTCTTTTTTAAGAATCTAAGATTATCTTTCAAAGCTTAAATTTACATATAGTAGAAAATGGTTATGAAGTGAAGGGGCTCCAAACAGATTGTGGCACAATTCTATCACCTTTTAGTTCCATCTTTCCACAGACGTTTTGAAGCCCCATTGTGTTATGTAGGTGGCAAAATGGTGACTCATTGGCAAGCTAATTACAAGGTCAGCAGTTCAAAACCACCTGTCACTCCACAGATAACAACAGGGTTTTCCACTCTTTTCTAACTAAAAAGTTAGTTTTTGAAACTCACAGAGACAGGCCTGCCCTGTCTTATAGAGTCTCTATGAGTTGACATTGGCATGATGCTGTGAATTTTGAAGGTTTTTGTATTATGTGGTTTTCATTATATATTTGTTGAACAGTGTTGATTTTGAGAGTACATCTAAACCCAGAGGGTAAGCACCTGCCAAAGAATTCAGTTAAATATGACAGATATTTTTAAAGATAATTTTATTAGGGGCTCTTACAACTCTTATAGCAATCCATACATCAATTGTATCAAATGTATTTATACATGTTGCCATCTAAATATTACTTTTTATTTTGAGCCCTTGATATCAGCTCCTTTTTTCTCTTCCTCCTCTCTCTTCCCCTTGTGACCCTTCAAAAATTATAAATTATTATTTTCATGTCTTACAGCGACCACTGTCTCCCTTCCCTCACTGTTTGTTGTTTATTCTCCTGGGGTGTAGGGTAGTGATGTGTGGATCATCATAATTGGTTCCCCTTCCGCCCCTCCCCCTCTGGTATAACTACTCCCATTTTTGTTCCTGAGGGGTTTATCTGACTTAGATTCCATGTGTCGTGAGTTCATATCTGTACATGCTCTTACCTGTGTACATGCTCCGGTCTAGCCCAAAGTGAAAGGCAGAACTGAGGTCATGATAGTGTGGAAGCCTCAAGGAAACAGAGGAATATTGTGCGCTTCATTGGTGCTATGCTGCGCCCTGGTTGACTCATCCCTTCTTTGTGACCCTTCTGTGAGCTGATGTCTCAGTGTCTACAGATGGGTTTTGGTTCTCTGCTCTGACCTACCTCGTTCTCAACACTGTTTTGTTATTTGCTTGTTTTGGGTCTTCTGATGCCTGTTACCTGATCCTGTCGACACCTCATGATCACACAGGCTGGTGTGCTTCTTTCATGTGGACTTATTGCTGCTCTGGTAGATGGCCGCTTGTTTATCTTCAAGCCTTTAAGACCCCAGATGCGATATCTTTTGATAGGGGCACCATCAGCTTTCTTCACATTTGCTTGTTGCACCCATTTTGTCTTTAGCCATCATGCTGGGAGGTGAGCATCACAGAAGCCAGGTGGTTAAAACAGTGTTCTTGCATTGAGGCAGGCCTTGAGCAGAGGCCTAAAGTCCATTCACTACCTCAGTGTATTGCCACATGAATATATGTATATACACCAATACCTCTGTTTTTATGAGTTAATGTATTTATATGTAAACACCTATGCTTATACTTCTATCCATAGCTTTGCTTCCTAGATCTTTCCTGTTTCCTTCCTCCTGCCCCACCATCACACTCAGCCTTCTTCTGCCTCTTAGTCATTCCTCTTAGCTGAATTGCTGTTGCTCCTGCACCCTCAGGGTCTCTAGGCCCTCCTTGTTGATTTTAATTCCCCAGTGACAGAATTTTTTTATCACACCTAAGAAATATTATCTCTTCAAATTTCTAAATAACTGTGTTTATATTGTTTTCCTGTCTCATGTGTTTGACCTTTAGGTTCTATAGTGTAAGATTTATAATTGCAGTGTCTAACCTTCTACCTGATGGAACAAGAATAGAGCCAAAACATGGGTATCCAATACAGGCTTTATTGGGAAATGAGAACTGCCAGACTTCTCCAGAAGGGAAGGAAAAAATGATTTTCATTTAAACATGTTTTCTTTACCTTAACAATTCCCAAGTAGTAACATTTCAACATGTAATAAAAAAGGTTGATTGTTGAGATAGTCTGCATTTTTTTACATGGTAAACCTTCAAAACCTGCTGTATATTTTACACTTGCAGCACATCTCAGTGCAGACTGGCTCCCCAGCCATGTGGCTAATGGGCATTATACTGGACAGCTCAGTTCTAGAATATGACCATGGAAATAACTGGCTGAGTAGGGGAGAGTCCAGGTAATTGGAAGGATCACTTATGGAAACAGTAGAATTCCCAAGAAATTATGCAATCACTACAAAGAACGTGGTAGATCTGTGTATTAGTCTAGGTACTTAGGAGAAACAAATCCACGGCGACTCACGTATAAGAGTTTTATGTAAAGAAAAGGTGCATCACGAAAACATCTCAACCCAATGCTGCCCAAGCCCACAAGTCCAACATTAACCCATTAACCCAACACCAGTCCACAAAGTTCTTCACCTCACAAAACAGAGGCAATGGTGCCGACTGCAGGAGGAAAGCTGAGTCAGTGAACGAGTAAGCATCTCAGCACTGGCAGGGGTCTCCACACGGCTGCTCCAGCACCCAGGGCTGCATCGGGATAGATCCATGCGGCTTCTCCTTGGGGATGTCTTGTAGGAAGTCAATCTTGCAAGCTGAAGCAGGGAACTGCTGAGGCAGCTGCACCCGATGCAACCACCACAAAACAAGAGACCCGAGAACTAGAAAGGCGAGGCGTCACCACCCATTTATCCCTCCACCTTTCAACCAGCACCACATGTGATTATCGGCCAGGCTGGCACAATTAACTAACTCAATCTGTATGTCATGATTTGAAAGATTTCTAAGACACGAGAAAGTGAAAGTAAATTTCCAAAATATGTAAATGATCCTAATATTTGCAAAAATAAGTATATATTTATCACTATGTATATTCATGGAAGAATACAACAGAACATATTTCCTGTGATATTTCCTTCTAATAAGGATGTTTCCTCAATGCCCTGGAGAACTAACCCTAACTCCACCAGGATCCCGAGGTTCCCTTCTGTTCTAGTATCTACTAGTCGTTCTGTTATCATGCAATATTCTGTCTACCTGGATCTTTGCAATATTTTATCTCCAATAAAGAATCTGCCTATCAAAGAAAAAAAATACTATAAATGAGGCTTGTTAACTTGATAGTGGTTACCTCTGGTGAATGGACTAGAAATCAGATGTCGTTAAGAGTGAAGGCAAACATTCAAGTTTTGTAGGGACTTCTGGATCACTTGAGTATCTCCCAGGGAGAAGGTATACATGCACACAGTGAATACTTTTTAAAGGAATTAAAGTATGAAAACCATCAGTCTAGTGAATTTATTTGACTTAGTTCCCACCATCACTTGTCCTTTCCTCAAAAGGTTTCAAGTGTTAGGAATTGTCTGGGGACACAGAGCTAGACGCTAACTAGCCAGTTCTGATTAGCAAGTGCACCTGCATTTTAGCTCATGCTTTGTGATGTCATAAAATACTTTGTTAAGACTTCCACCTCTGCTTTGGTCTATTTGAGGCCTTCTGTGAGTCTTTAATTACAAGGCGAGTATGGTTAAAACAGGGAGAAGGGTCCCTTGTGTATTTCTCTCAAGTCCTGTCATATTGTCCTTCTGATTTCTCTTCTAGATGAGATGCTTCTGGATGTGGACCATTTCTTATTAGAGGTAACAAAGTACTTGAGGGATAGCAAGTGTTCAACAAAGGTTTGGTGAATGGATATATAAGTATATATATCAGACCTTGAGACCCCAAAGCTCTTTTTTATATACAAGCAAAGAAAGATGAATCTTTTATTAAATATTTTTACTAAATTCAAATTTTATTAAATTACTGAATCTTTATTGAGTACCTGCTATATAAAACAGGCAGAAGGGAAAGAAACAAGTTGCCTGTCTAGAGTTACTTTAACTCTTCAGCAATGCCTAAGTCTTCATCATAAAAAAAACCCATTCCAATTTTAGCATCCATCGGTTTGTTAATCTTCATGTACAGTCTCTTCCCTATTCCTAATACTTTCAAATACTTCATAATGCTGCAGACCATTCATTATTCCAAGGAGCATTTGCAGGGTCAGAGGAATTGCCATTGCTTTCACCTCCCTGTGACAAAGCAGAGACCAGTGGAGTAAAACCCTTCCTTTGGGTGGTAATGGGACTGTATGATACCTAAAAAGAAAATGAATTTATCATTTTCCCTGGACACATTCTAGAAAAAGTTCCTAAACTGGTAATTAATTTCCATCTTAGATGTTATTATATAAGTAGCAAAACCATTTAAAAAATATCAAATGATAGTTTTTTAGTTTAAATTATGTCATAGATAACTAAAGAGTAACCTAAAAAAAATGCTATGAGAGAGAAGAAGGTAGGTAAGGCCGTAAAAGGCAGAGGAGATGGGAGGGGAAAGAGGCAGAAGGGAAGGGGAGAGGGAAACACGTGAATGGAGAGACGTACTTGACTGCCAGACGTCCATTTTTAGAAAAAGCCAAACCACTGGGATAGAGAACACCGCACAATACGCCCACCAGTGAACTCCTCACCACACAATTCTCCTGGCTGATATCACCTGGAAAACAAAAGTAATTATGATCTTCTTTTCCAGATCAGGTTGAGAATTAAAATTAGTCTTATGCCAACAAATAGCAGCTATGTGTACTTTCCTTATCCCCTATGAAATAGCAAAAAATCCCTGGAAATACAAGGTCTGCGTCACTGTATAGGCTAAATATATCAAGTTTTCAACATTCTTTTATTAGATTCTATTTTGAGGAAGATTAACTCTTACATATTTTGTTGTTACAGTGGTAGTCCTGGTACCCAGATTGTAGGTTAATACATTTTATTGTGTATTACATGCCAAGCACGTGCTGAGTGATAGGTGTACAAAAGACCTTCAGGCCAGTCTATAAGGGAAGACATTAAACAAATATTTAAGTAAATAGTTATATAAGTGCACAGTGCACTGAAGGTAAAGTGTAGCAAGACATAACTGGCAACCTCGCCTATTCTGAAGGAATGGGAAGTTCCCCCCAGAAAGAGATAATTAATGAGGGGCCTGAAGAATGAACAAGGGTCAAACTTTCCAACAATTACTGGTTGTGAATTCAAGAACAAGTGAGACCAAACCAAAAGCCAAAGTCACTGCCACTGATAGTTGATTCCAACTGACAGCGTCATATAGAACAGAGTAGAACTGTACCTTAGCCTTTCTAAGACTATACATTGTTAGGGAGCAGACTACCACATCTTACTTTCAAAAAGCAGCAGAAGGGTTTGAAGCACCAACCCTGCTGTTAGCTGCCCAATGCTTATTAACTCATAGCACTACCAGGAATCTCAAGTAAGAGAAGAGGTAGCTAATAACAATATTAGATGCCTATGATATGCCAGCTGGTAGACATTTAGTGTACAGTCTCTCTTAATTCTGAAACACCAGAAATCAGTACTATTAATTTTAACTCATAGATAAAACAATTAGGGCTCAGAGATTAAAAGACTTGGTTAATGTCAAACTTGTGGTGAGAAGTAGGACTGGAAGCCATGTGGTGATCCCAGAGCCTATTTTCCTAGGACACAAGGGTAAGTCAAAAAAGTAGTGCTACTAGGGTTCTGGTTCATACATGCAGATTTAGTTTTTTAAAAAAATGTTTACACATCTCGGTGATCAGTAGATAGCTGCAGACATGTTTTATCTGTTATACACTTGTCTTCATCTCCTGTTAGGTGTCATTAATAAACAAGATCCAATTAAAGCAGTGGATTCTGAGAGGATCGGCTGGGCCAGTTAAATTCTAAGCAGAGAGGCTAACTCAGAAAGTTATGGCAACTGTTTTGTGTGACCCCCAAAGGGATAATCTTGATCGATTTTCTTGAAGGACATAGGATAATTATGGAGCGTTTTAAAGAAAACTGAGTACGTTAAGTAAGTTATGTTACAGTAAAGCTGCACTGAGGAATACTCCACCCGCCTCTTCTCTGCCCCCATTATGACAATGCAGCTAGCTGCTCATTCTTCAGTGGCTGTCCTTTTTGAGAATCTCACTGGAAAATTTTATCCCATTGACCCTGAAGCCATGATCTTGCCCCTTCAGACTTCTTTTTTGCCACACACACTCAAAGATCACAATGCTAAGAAAAATTATTTTGGTCCCTTGAGGGTGCCCAAACTTGTTTTGATGCGTTGTAAATCTAAGAGTGCAGAATTGCTCAGGGAAGGGTTAGAGAGAAGGAAACACCACCGTTGAAGTGTACAGCCCTAGATGGAGACTATGTTAAGAAACAATACCTTCACATTTTGATACTTTTATTTAATAGAAGTATTTAGGATTTTGTAGCATATCTTTTTGACTCACCCTTAAGTTTTATGCTGCTGCTTATTGTATTGGAACGTTTGACTATTAAAAACAAAACTATAAAAAATGAACAGTTGTACTTATCTTGTCTGATCTGGAAGATTATTGTGAGGGTCAGAATGGATAATATATGTGACGATATTTTGTAAGCAGCAAAGCAATAGAAAAATATAAAGCACTATTACCAACATTAAGAACAGTGTGAATAAAACCTGCAAAAGGCAGAAACCTTTCAGATAGGGAAAACTCAAATACTTCTATCCTATCAAATAGGATAGAAAAGTTGTGAGACTGCCCACCAAAGGCAGAAAACCTACGAGACCAAGAAAAACAAGGTAGTCCCATGGAGTTCTGTCTCTCACAGGCTTCACTCTATTAATGAGTAATTTTATTTAGACATAATCGCATCACGCATTAGTGACTTTAAATTTACCTGAATACAAAGCATCAGTTACAAAGAGTTTGTAAGTAACTATAGTAGATAAAAACGGAAGAGTGGCCAATGATGAGTATGTCTTCAAAGCATCATGTTGAACCTTGAAGCAGTACCTGAAAATAAAGTTTGCCAGTATTCCAGAGAAACCAGCTGTTGTTCCCAAGAAAACAGATCCATATAGATTTAATGTTGTACTAGGAAAAAACAATAAGAGAAAAATTAAATCAATCAAAATATTGTCCTAATGGATGCACATTTTCTCTGGTCATTTGTAATTAATTATTTATTGAATATCAAATATTTCTTGAGCACTTACTATGTGACTGGTATTTTCCAAGTACTGAGGATGGGGCAGTGAACAACAACAAAAACCCTGCCAGCATGGAATTTTCATTCTAATGAGAGTATATGACTGAGATTGTTGTTTCAGTTGATTCTGAAAAGGAGCTTTTATAAGAAAGGATACAGATAGGAACTGAAAATACAGGGAATCCAGGACGGATGAGCCCTATAGGACCAGTGGTGTGAGTGGAAAAACAGGGAGGGTAAAGGGAGA